AAAAGGTTTCCCCACCCCTGCTCTAGAGTATAAGTCGGACCCCCCACCAAACTATGAAAAAAAACCCTGCGACTTACAGTCCGAAAATACGGTAATCAAAATCGATGAACTCATTTTCTATCACTGCAGAGAGGAACCGTAATTATTACTGCTGCTGAACTATCACTATACTATATGTAAATACGCAATAATTACTCTTGCACTGATTAAAATCAAGCAACTGTGTTCCACCCCACAGCAACAGACAATTCATCCTGTGGTAACCAGAAGCGTACATGATCATCCTTTTCAAGTATCGAATCATATTGAAACCCGATCAAAATGAAACACGACACATTTGTGGAAGTTTTGCGAGAAAGAGCCGCCAAATTATGATCTAAAGGTGCCATGCTCACAAAGTGTGGGACAGCAATTCTCCCCTAACAGAATAAAAAATGAAAGGGGGGAATTTTTATTCATGTGCATGAATACTGTATAGTTAGGACACATTTATGGAAATCTTTTGAACCACTCTGAAGGATCCTTCAGGTAACTTCCAAGTATAGTATAGAGAGCATTTAGAACACTGGATATGTCTGCTGAGAAAGGATAGGAAAATAGGACCATGTAATGATGCTTAAGTGTGCTACCTCACTCTTAATCCTTTCAGGGACAGCGGTTACTACAGTGGACAGCTTGTCATGTTATCAGGTTACAGTGTGCATGACAGGGTTTATCACAAAGCTGCCAGATATGTAATTGTGTGTGGAAAAACTGCCACCGGTCAAACCATTCATTCGGAAGCAAATAAATTGTCATCTCACAAATACAATAGATAATATCCCAACGTTTGTGTTTTTCATCAAATGAAATGGCATATTCATTGTGCAAAATGATATTCAAATATGTTGCATTCTTGTGCAGGTTTAAATAGATTACAGTTCTAATCTTTAAACCCCCATTCCACTATGCGGCGAACAATTGCGAGAATTTGCAAAGGCAGCAAATGTTGTGTTCTCGTCAAGGTTGCAAATGTTTGCTGAACAGTCGCCGGGCGTTCGCCAACAGTTTCAGTTTTTTTTTTTTCAAAGAAATTTTGAACCTGTTCAAAATTCTCACATAACAAGAAAAGTACAGGCGAATCTCAAACGAACCCTAACGAACGTACGTGAGCGCAACATTCCCTGCCTTTAAAAGCACTCGCAATTGTTTGCCGCTCAGAGGGATATGGGCATGACCAATGCGTATGTCATGAAGGATCTGTGTGTGAGTGTGCGTGTGTGCGTGTGTGCGTGTGTGCGTGTGTGTGTGTGTGTGTGTGTGTGTGTGTGTAATAAAAATGAAGGGGGATGGATCTTTGGCAAGGCTGCAGGTTATTTTGCATAGGGCACTGTGCCCTGTCCTGGAGCCATCCAGCAAATGGCTGTAACTGTCATGGAAAAACACCTGCATTATATAAGGCCAAAATCCCCCCTATGTTCGGGGAAAGGCTCTGGCTCATCACAGGGCTTTTCTTGAAGCTCTTGTGAATAGCGTCAATGATCAGGTATTATTCTTCAGTTGTGAAAATGTCAAAAAAATCCAAAATATCCATGCCACAGCACTCATAGCAAATGACTTTTCATTTTAAATCTATGCTCCGGTCACCAAGTATGTGAACAAGCAAAAAAAAAAAAAAAAAAAAAAAATCACAACATTGTTCATTTTCTAGACAGGTTGAATGAGTGAAAACTCCACGCATTAATGAAATGCAACTGGTGAAGGAGCATCATTTAGAACAGAGATTAGCAACCTTTTTGAAACGCAGAGCTACTTTTAATGTGCACCGATTAATGTGACGGCTCACCAGTTTGATACGCACTATAATTAGGAAAGGCATACTCATGGGCTGCCAGGTGCCCATGAGCGCCATGTTGAATTAGTAGAATTTTGAAGGAAGTACAGGTATGTATTCTCTAGTGCGGAATCATATTTGCATTGTCCAATCTTTCCTTATCACAGAATTTCCTTATGTCGGAAACAACGATGGTATATGTCCTTTATGAACATGTAAGTATGTGAACATAATACATGTGTAACAACACAAGCAAAAAAATGCAAAAATATATGGTCCAAAAACTTTTTATAACACAAAAACCGCAGCACACAGTACAGGCATATAAACAAAATACAGTATAACAATATGTGTCACAAAATTAGGACTACAGTATTTGCTATAAAATGAGACTAGTAACAGACCTGGTGGCTTTTATTTCCACTCACTCACTGTCTCTAACTTTACCGCCACTCGATCACTACACAAGACAGCGTTGCTCATCTGATGTCGTCCAACGAACTTTTGAAGCCAGCCACGCACGGGACTCTTTTAAGTCCTCGATGTCCATAGTTAGCGCTATGGAACTCGCCTTCTCTCTAATTAGCGGTCCAGTTAGCGGAAGGTTTTTAGCACGATAACGTTCGTTTACTCGACTGTCTGTCGTGCCACAAGCGGCTAATCGGATGCATTCCACTCTCTCTTCCACGGTCATTACCGTTCCTCTTCGTTTGGATGCCAAGATCTACAGGATCTAAATGTAAATGCATGAAATAGAAAATCGTTTGCGATTCCAGTAAAACTCATACCAATACAGTCACTTAAATGCCGCCGTTTTGGATCCGATTAGAGAAAATAGCGGTGCAGACACAGTTATTCCGTAGTACTGTATCAAGCGGGACTTGCTTGAGTTTGCGCAGTGAGAGGAAATAGCGGTGCAGACAGAGTTATTCCGTAGTATCGAGTGGGACTTGCTTGTGTTTGCGCCACTGCAGGCTTCCGCCGGGTTTCGAGAACCGGAATTTCCGTTGTTATGAATCAATCGTTAATGTAATATCGTAGTTGAAATTTTAATGCATACCTTTTTTTTTGTTTTGTTTATTTGTTTGTTTGTTTTTTAGCAAGTTCAGGAATTTCCATTTGACAGAGGTCTGCAGGTGGTAGATCAGATTTCTCCTTCTATCTCTCACCCTCTCTCTTCGTCTTCCCCTCCCTCCCTGTGCTTTGCAACGTCAAGTTACTCAGCAACCTGGCGTTGAAATGCCTGTCATTACAAATCCAAATGAAATGAATGCAATCATTCACATGAAACCTTAATTGTGCACCAACCTTCGGCGAGCCGGATTAAAAAGACCAATGGGTCAGATCCGGCCGTAGCAAACTACCATATCCGTTTCCTCTCCTGTCTGTCGTGCCACAAGCGGCTAATCGGATGCATTCCACTCTCTCTTCCACGGTCGTTACCGTTCCTCTTCGTTTGGATGCCAAGATCTACAGGATCTAAATGTAAATGCATGAAATAGAAAATCGTTCGCGATTCCAGTAAAACTCATACCAATACAGTCACTTAAATGCCGCCGTTTTGGATCCGATTAGAGAAAATAGCGCTGCAGACACAGTTATTCCGTAGTACTGTATCAAGCGGGACTTGCTTGAGTTTGCGCGACTGCGGGCTTTCGTATGGCTTCCGGGTTTCGAGAACCGGAATTTCCGTTGTTATGACTCAATCATTAATGTAATATCGTAGTCGAAATTTTAATGTTATAAAATGAGACTAGTAACAGACCTGGTGGCTTTTATTTCCACTCACTCACTGTCTCTAACTTTACCGCCACTCGATCACTACACAAGACAGCGTTGCTCATCTGATGTCGTCCAACGAACTTTTGAAGCCAGCCACGCACGGGACTCTTTTAAGTCCTCGATGTCCATAGTTAGCGCTATGGAACTCGCCTTCTCTCTAATTAGCGGTCCAGTTAGCGGAAGGTTTTTAGCACGATAACGTTCGTTTACTCGACTGTCTGTCGTGCCACAAGCGGCTAATCGGATGCATTCCACTCTCTCTTCCACGGTCGTTACCGTTCCTCTTCGTTTGGATGCCAAGATCTACAGGATCTAAATGTAAATGCATGAAATAGAAAATCGTTCGCGATTCCAGTAAAACTCATACCAATACAGTCACTTAAATGCCGCCGTTTTGGATCCGATTAGAGAATTGCCTGCTTTTTGGGGTCCACCACCACCAGGCAAAACGTGACAATGCTGAATGTATGTATTTTTTTTTCTCATTAGCATTTTTTATTATATCATTGGACGAAATGCACACATTATTTCCTCATTTGGGCTATGGGGGTGTGCTAAATTCCGGTTGCAAGGCTAAAGCCAACTTACTGTATGAGTCAATTACTTTGTGTAAAACCAGTCCTTGAGGGTCACTATCATCCTGCATGTTTTGGATGTTTCCCTCCTCCAACACTCCTAATTCAAATGATCAGCTCATCAGTGAGCTATTCAGAAGCCTGATAACAACTGTGATCATTTGAATCAGGTGTGTTGGAGGAGGGAAACATCTAAAACATACAGGATAGTGGCCCTCGAGGACCGGACTTGCCCATCCCTGTTGTAGATGGCCGGTGTAAAAAGAATTTATATCTTGCCATTGACACAGACCAATTTCTCAAATCACAGTTTTGCTCGAATCTGTCGATATGGGTCATGCATGGACCAATATGATGTGCTTACTGGAGCATGTGCAGTTGTCTTGGTGCTCAGCAACTCCGCACTTCTTTTCCTTCGCAGCAGCTCTTTGACTGAATCTTTCACTCGAACACCCTGGTATGGTCTGGACCTGCTCGGAGCAGCAGGATGGGCTTGAAATGCCAGAAAAAGAGCAAGTTAATTTCCACTTTGTAGAGAAATGAGATCTGGGCACATTAAAAATACCAGAGGTGGCCATTCCATCAGTACTGATGAAAGATCTGTCAGTTCGTCACTGACAGGAGCCCATTTTGCTGAACGTTACTGGAGCATGTGCAGTTGTCTTGGTGCTCAGCAACTCCGCACTTCTTTTCCTTCGCAGCAGCTCTTTGACTGAATCTTTCACTCGAACACCCTGGTATGGTCTGGACCTGCTCGGAGCAGCAGGATGGGCTTGAAATGCCAGAAAAAGAGCAAGTTAATTTCCACTTTGTAGAGAAATGAGATCTGGGCACATTAAAAATACCAGAGGTGGCCATTCCATCAGTACTGATGAAAGATCTATCAGTTCGTCACTGACAGGTGCCCGTTTTGCTAAACGAATGACAAACTTCAAAAAATGAATTTTCATCCGTCAGCATAATCATCACTGACCGGGTCAAGTACCCACAGACAGCCTGGAGAAATAAGTCTACGTGAGTGTATGTGTTTTGTAAAGCTCTTTGGAAGCCACCGTGTGATTTTATATATAAAAATGTGTGTGTGTGTGTGTACTGATATATAGTGCACTCATTTATCATTTTAATTAAATTGGATTTTTCATCTGTTGGACTATGACTTTTTTTTATTTTTTTTCACCCTTTCATGAACCCTGAAACCCGATAACATGATAAGCTGTCCATTGTAGCAACCGCTGTCCCTGAAAGGGTTAAACTGACAGAAACGATGACGGAAGCTTGGTTAAAATAACATGACAGACTGATTGACTGATGATTACAATTTGGTTTGGCTTGAAAAAAATGACTGAGTGACATTGATGGACAGGTGCTTAGGCTTGACTGATGATTACAATTTGGTTTGGCTTGAAAAAATGACGGAGTGACATTCATGGACAGGTGCTTAGGCCGCTGACGAATGACAGGCCAGCAAAATGTTAAAAATTGCCCACCTCTAGAAAAGACACTTTGCTGGACTAGGGGATTTGATAGAAGGACCAGATTAGAAACGCTTGTCAACGTTCTATACAAAACATCAATTGCAAACAAAACACAAAATTACGGAAATTTTGTTACATGAACTCATCTCTGACTGCAAATCAAATATCTGATATCTTGGTATTCGTGCATGTTGATAGATCTTATCGATTGGATCTCGTTGGATTTGACTGTGTCATTACCTGCACAATTTGTGTGCATGTGTAATATATGTATAATTTTGTTTGAGCAAAATTCGTGCAAATGTTGGAGTGGCCCCAGGCTCCCAGGATTTTAAGAAACCTTTTCCAATGGCATAACACATATCAGGGGTGGCCCGGTGGTCCAGAGGTTAGCATCGACCTCACAGTGCTCCGGCCTTCCTGTGTGGAGTTTGCATGTTCTCCCCGTGCCTGAGTGGGTTTTCTCTGGGTACTCCGGTTTCTTCCCACATTCCAAAAACATGCATGGCAGGCTGATTGAACACACCCTAGGTGTGAGTGTGAGCGAGGATGGTTGTTCGTCTCTGTGTGCCCTGCGATTTGCTGGAAGCCAGTTCAAGGTGTCCCCCGCCTACTGCCTGAAGACAGCTGGGATAGGCTCCAGCACCCCTCACGACCCTAGTGAGGATAAAGTGGTTCGGGAAATGGATGATGTATGGATAACACATATCATATCCATTTGCAATTCAAAAGTGCTCCCTTTGTCAATCATGAATAGTATGGATTAGAACTGTTCTGTCAAATGTCTGTTTTTGTTTTGATATTACAGTGACAGAGAGAGTGATATCATCCTTTAGTTTTATGTTTTACTGTGCTCAACTTCCTTTCATACATGTTCGACATGTTATAATGTTTAAAAAGTGAGATGCCCTTAGTGCCTGTGTGATGCAAATCCTGTCTGGGGTCACAGGTGAGTTGGAACTATATCAGTTGACATACCAGAGGTGGTAAATCGCAACAGACAAGTCAATCTCCGGGCACACATAGAGACAGCCCTTCGTATTCACATGCATGAACAAGTTCAAATGAACTTTTGGAAGTGTGGACAAAGATGGAGTTTCCGAAATCAGCACGATGAGAACAGGCAGATTCTACACAGAAAGGTCAGAACCAAGCCACTGACAAAGCCTTTGACTGCAAGGCAGACTTACACTGCTAACGGGTAAGATTTTCCTATCCTGCTGCTTATTTTTTACTGTGGGGGGGGAGCATGTTTCATCTGATTGATGAGAAGTGAAACATGTACACTGATCATCCGTCATTGTCAGGGTATAATGAACAGTAACTCACTCATCAGTTCCTCAACGTCTCGATCATGCCACCACAGTTGTCTAGTGTGCACTGCCAAGTGGCCATTCAGAAGGGAACAACGTTCAGTTCTAGCATTCCAAATTAAGGCCCGATGAGGCCTGATGTTGTTAATTTTGCACACGACCACAGTCCAGAGGATCTGCAAGTGGGAGGGCTACGTCGCCGTGGGAGTGGTAAAGGCCAACATCAGTCATAGCCAAGCAAAGGAGCTTCTTTCATTCGCTTTAAATGTGTGCTAATTGCCCACCAGGGTCTCAATATTGCACATCTGCGCTTTTGTGTGAGCACTAGGAGAATGCTCACCAGCCTGATCATTTGTAAGCCCCATCGCTGTGCTGCCCAGAGGGATAATTAGAATGAGTATAACAGGTCAAAATTAAACAATCAGTAGCCAAAAGTTAAGTGGACAAAGTGGTAGGGGACAAGTCCCTACAATTTCCATGAGCTTCACATTTACATCAGTCACCAAACTGTCTCTGTACACCTTAAGACAACTGTGCTGATCAGCTGGCTCGCTTCGTCTTTGATCAACACCTCATTGGAGTCAAGCCATGTTTTCTGCCTGCTTGTGTAAGTCTGCCCTGTCCCTAAGAAGACAAACATTACATGACTTAATTGATTATAGACCTGTGACGACAGACCTGTGGTCTTGACATCTGTAATCATGAAGGTATTTCAGCGCCCGGTCCTCCCCCACATGAAGTCGATCACGACTTCATGTGGGGGTGATCGACTTCATGTGGGGGACTCTGCAGTTTGCCTCCAGAGACAACAGGTCCATAGATGTTGCACTCAACATGGGCCTTCAACTTAGTCCTGCAACAGCAAGGTCACTGATAGTGTAGTGTTACTCTCGCCTGAATTGTGTGGGGGCAGTGTGGGATCGGTTCCCACTCAGTGGCGCTGTGGATGTGGGTGTGAATGGTTTTTTTGTCTCTCTATGTGCCCTGTGACTGACTGGTGACCAGTTCAGGGTGTAGTCTACCTTCTACCCAAAGTCAACTGGGATAGGCACCAACAACTTCTCGCGACCCTGTTCAGGATTAGCGGTGTTGAAAATGGATGGATGGACTGCAACTGCTAAACTCCCAGTAAAACCACACGAACTCAACTCAACTCAAGTGGACTTCAGCTTTGCCTTCATCTCCATCCTCCCAGCTCTAATCCAAGACAGACTCTCCCAGCTCAATGTGCCCAATTCCCTCTGCATGATCTCAAAGACTTCCTATACTGACCTGAAGCAACATTTGCAGCTCGGGAAGACAAGGACTGTCTATTTCTCCCTATACACCAACTTCTGCACCTCCAGCCTTCAGTTTGTAAAATTGATCAAGTTTGCAGAGCAACACCACCCTCATTGGCTTATGTCAGAGAGTCATAAATCTGCCTGCAGTAGGGAGATGCACCGGCTCATGTCCTGTTGCAACTGCAACAACCTTGGTCTTAACACCCAGGAAAAAAAAGATGGTTGCAGACCTCTGGAAGAGCACAGCTCCATGGTGATCCTTACCCTCAAAGACTCTTCGATCTCCATTGCGGACTTCTTCCACTTCCTTGGCAGCACCATCACCCAGGACTTATGGGATCTGACCATCACCTCCCTCATCAAAAAATGGCCCGACAGAGGATGTTCTTCCTCAGGCAGCTAAGTAAGGTCAATCTGCCAATCAAGATGAGGGGCACAGTCCTACATGGCCTTCCTCGCCACCTACATTGCCATGTGGTACGCTTTTGACACTGGCAGGGACAGGCATAGACTGCAGCGCATTGTATGTGCTGCTGAGAAGGCTGCAAGACCTCATCCATTCAGAAACTGGAGGTCTCCAGGACCCGGGGGGCATTTAGGTCAGATTACATCTGACCTTTCTCAACTTCGACAAGGCTTGTTCAAACCTCTCCCCTCAGGCAGGAGGCTACAGTCCTCCCGTCACATGAGGAGTTTCTTCCCCCGAGAATGTTCCTTCAAGGTCACAAACTGTCATAAAGACAGCCGCCAGAGGTGAGCCAAATGATTTGGAACATGTCCAAAGTTTTGGACATGTTCAAAATTTCCTGGTGACAAGAAATATTGTTTGAGACTGTTGAAACTGTTGCCGAACGTCTTTCGACTGTTTGGGACTTTTGAGCGAACCCTGACGAAGAAATAACATTCGCGAGGTGCACACACACTCGCAAACCTGCGCAAATATCAATTTCATTTTCACTGGGTGAAATAAAGGATACATAAAAAAAAATCTTTCTAAAAACCTAAGTGCTCTACCAATGTAGGTTATTGGTAGGCAGCAGATTATCTCAGGTGAATTCAGGCAAGAGGCTGAGCACAGTAATTGTGTTTGTTTATTTACAATGAATAAAATAATATGCATGTAAGAATTGGAAAAAAAGAAAATGTGTCAAATACTGTACATTTTAATTTATGGAATACTAATTGGATTCAGTTTGACCAAACGGGATGTATTCGGTTCAAAAATTAAAAACAAAATTATACATTAGACTAATATTGCCAAAATTACTTTTTCTCTCAAGAAATATACAACATACTGTTTTTTTTCTTCATCTCAGAAGTTATGAACGAGTAAGAGGCTCGTATTCTTCAATTCCAGTTTCAAGGTCGAATTCCATTTTGTTCTGTCGACATTAATTGTTCGATATATTGCTTTATTACACTCTTAAAAAAAGAGTCGATAAAGAAACACAGCTGTCTTTAGAAACAAAGAAATAAAATCTGCCGACTTATATTAAATGCACCAGCGTCACAGTTGACAACAGGAACAGTGTCCTTGTCACCTCGTATGCTGTGACGGACCTCCAATCCCCTGTCTTTGCAGCTCTCACGGTGACAAAGGTGAAACGGCACGTGTCCGGACAGCCACTGGGGCTGCGCGTCCACTTAATCTCTGTTGTAAAGATGAGGGTTGTGCTGTCTGTCTTTTCCCTTTTGTTCTTATCAGGAGCTGATTCGTAACTGATAACATTGTACATGTCAGATATGAAATGTTCTCATGTAAACATACAGCCCGACAGCAGAATTTGACACATATCTTTTTTTTTCTTGTTGACTAAATTATGTACCGGTAGTTGTTCGAGGGATTTAGTTTGAGCATCCATTTATAGTAAGTGAACTGATATACTTTTTTTTTGCCAAGCTTTGGTTAAAAGTAGGAAAGTAAGAAAATATTCATGTGAATAGATTCAATAAAATCATTAATCATAAACTATAACAATCTCCCATTGTTGAGGCAAATTCTATCTATCTATCTATCTATCTATCTATCTATCTATCTATCTATCTATCTATCTATCTATCTATCTATCTACCTATCTATCTTATCTATCTATATCTATATCTAGCTATATATACCTGTGTGTGTGTGTGTGTGTGTGTGTGCGTGTGCATATATATATATAATTTTTTTGTATTTCCCACCATCCTCCCCCCAGCATGACTGACCGTGTCGTGGTTCGCATGTTTGACTTTTATGCTGGCAGTCACTGTGTGGGTTTAGTTCCCACTCACTGACAGTGTGAATGGTTGTCTGTCTTAATATGAGCCCTATGAGTGACTGTCGGGCAAGTCCAGGTTAAAGTCTGGCTTTGTGCCTGACAGCAGCTGGGATAGACTTCAGTTAGTTCCCCGTGACCCTGAACAGTAAAAACGCTCTAAAAAAACGGATGGATGGAAATTCTTTGCAATTATTGTAAAGGTCACGGTGGTCTCGTGAGCACAGTACGAGATGATGCGCAATCCTTTTGAAATTCGGTTGCGTTTGCACATTATAAAATGTTCCGAATCAGGTGATGAACTCTTAACGCCCAAAGTTGCAGGACTGATAACATCTGCAATGAGTGAATGGAATGTAGTGTCAACAGAGACTTGATATTGGCCATTATTGCTTCCACAGATTCAGACTGCACCTGGTGTTTGGAATTGAAGTGTCAAAAGGTCGCCCAATAAAGACTTCATTATAAATTCTGGGAAGTAGTATTACGATTGTAATCATAGCTGTAGATCATCTTTATAAGTGATAATGCCTGCTTACGTTACTATTTGATCTCGCGACTAAACGACTTCATTCGAATTTTGAAAATACATGAATAGAAAATGACCATGCACAGAAATACATCCACACAGATAGTAAATAAACAGGGACGAGGAGTCAAAAGGGGAAGCGCCACAGCTGCACATTATTTGACACAGATGGGAAACTTTCTACCTTTTTGCATATCAAGATTATAATCCACTTTTAATGTGAAGCCATTTTACCAAATGATTTCTCTTTAGCAAAGAGGCCCACAAGTTCTAAAGCACGAAACAAAATTTGTGTGAAAGTCACTGCGGTTATTAAGTGTTGAAATCTTCCCCAAATTATATGCAATCATGAGCACAGAGATGTAAAATCAAATTTGAATTAAAAAAAAAAAGCACTCATTTTGATCAAGATGGGTGATAATCAAGATGCTGATCTTGCAAAGTTGTCTTCATATGATATGCTATTGATTATATTTTGCCATAACACAGGAATGTGCTAGCCTTGTACACATGTGGTCGCTGCTGCAATCATGTTTATCTAGTGTAAAGGAAACAAACAACGAATCACATTTTACTCTAATTAACCGTGAAACCAAATGAAAGGTGATATGCAACAGATATACAGTAATTATAGAAAGTAATATCATGACAATACATTACATATCATATGAGAAAGCACACGCAATTTCATGTGTTATACTCACATTTGTCTAAGTGCATTTTGCTGATGTTGATTGGCGACTAAAGCAAATCTAAGAGGCGTGCTGCCGACTTGGCTTTTTAAGAGGCGAACCATTCCCCTGGGATGTTGCAGCTTCTAGTCTGGTGGCACTGGTGGCAGTTTATCCAATCAACAAACTTTTCCCCATACATATGAATAATTTCAAGACACAATAAACACAAACACCAGGAAGTGTCGTTATTAGATTTCTACGTACCAAAATTGTGCATGAGTGCACTGAATGCACCAAAATTTGACTGACAAAGCTGAGTAGTGGGAGTAGACATTTTGGTTCAAAAATTCTCTCTACATTGAAGGAAGCTGTTTGTTCCACTTACCGCTGTACCCACACTTACTGGACAATACATTCACCCCAGTTCATTTTTCTGATTGGAGGTTTCCTACATGGCGATGCCAATATTTCAAGTTCCATACTCCACATCTTAACCCCTTTCAGGGACAGCATTGATCTACAGTGGACAGTTTATCATGTTATCAGATTACAGGGTCTATGAAAGGGTTAAGCCCCTCGTCCAGCTTGGCTTCACTGACTGAGTCTTTACACTCGAATCAATGCAACCTCTTTCTGAATTTGGGCTACGCACTTTAATTTCCCTTTTAGATATACAGTATGTACATTGCAGTTTTTGTGGAAACAGTTTGGGCATTGCGCTTTTAAAAGAAAGGTGAATCAAGGCATGCTGAGATGAGTTAGGTACAGAAGAACTTGAGTGGCCCACAGAGTTGATGCCGTAACATAACACGGCAAAACACCCCTGGGATGAAGTGGAAAAGAGATTGTGATATGTTTAGGCAACAATTAAAGACATGCATGTGGGTGGTCGTGTTGCAAATTGTCAGGACTGCAGCGGTTGCTGATGGAGGAATTGTGCTTTTGCACTGACAGGAAGAACTATGAAGAATTGGTTGACATCAGTTAAGGCTTGTTCAGAACAATATTTTGCGATGAATGTTTTCCTTGATGTGCCGGTGGAAAGGAGCCAATATGAGAGTCACTCAATCATCAATCGTGATCGCGCCGGCATGTTTGAGCGTGTCAATACTTAATTTGGCCTGTTTAAAGATGTAGCTGAGAAACTTCAATTTCATTTGGCAACATAGCTCAGCTGGATTAGGTCACAGTTTGCACCTCTGTGGTGTATGAGTTCATTTGCCTGGCTTTTGTGCGAGCTGCTTCAGTTTAAGTTCTCACTCAGGAATGGTGTCAGTGTGAGGGTCGATGATTGTTTGTTTGTCTGTAAATGTGGCGACCAGACCAAAGTGGAGTCCTTCTGTCACCCAAATTCAGCTGAGCTCCACACCTAAGTGGTATACAAAATGGATGGCTAGCTGGATGGGTGGAAGGATGGACTCCGTTCTTGCATGATTACTTGATTCACAGAACCTAACACACAAGACAAATTCGATTCAGTTTGATCTATATTCCTAATTATGCTGCACTTTAACCTTTTTTTGTCCTCAATGTACAGTCATATCTCGGTTTTCGACCATGATCCATGCCAGAAGGCTGTTCGAAAAGCGATTTGTTCGAAATCCAAAACTATTTTATTAGCCCATGGTTAGGGGCTAATACACGATCAGAAATAACATAAAAGATTTGCGTAAATCACAACAAACACGTCTGCTCACAATGAACGCGACACGAGGAAGAGTCATTTCCTCGTGTAAGGAAGCCGAGAGGAGTCAAATGTCGGATTCGGGTTTGCTCAGTTTGGTCGAAAACCGGTTTTCGGTTGTAATCAGAGGCGTAAAAATCTCAAAATTTCTGGTCGAAATCCGATTTGGTCGATAACAGAGACGTTCGAAAACCGAGGTTTGACTGTATATGTTTTTGCATGGAGTTCTTTGACTCTGACGACAACTACCAGAGACAAAGATCTTGTGTGGCCAATAAAAAAAATAAAAATAAAATTCGGATTCAGGTGACGATAGGTTTTCATGGGGGTTGAAACAGTGAAAACAACATGCCCGTTCCCCTTTAAATGAGAACCGGTTGACCCCATCTAGTCTGCTGCAGTCTCCAGCCTGCGATCTCTCTCTCTCTCTCTCTCTCTCTCTCTCTCTCTCTCTCTCTCTCCTTCGCTCTAGGAAGCCTCCGGAGGCCAGAGCGATGGCGGCGGGGGGGCTCGCCGGGAAAATTC